TGTATGCAAGATGCAAAAGCTCTGGGTATTATCCAGAACGCTGTCTCAGATCAGATATTCCCTAGAATAGCCAATGCAGATTCTGCGAAGATGGCATGGGATCTGTTATATGGTGAGTACCATGGTGGTGATCAGGTAAGATCTGTGAAACTACAAAATCTGAGACGTGAATTTGAGTATGCTAGGATGCGTGATGATGAAACTCTGTCTGGGTATCTTACTAGGCTAAATGAATTGATCAATCAGATGAAAACGTTTGGTGAGATTTTGTCTAATGAAAGGCTTGTACAGAAAGTTCTCATTAGTCTCAGTAAACCATATGATCCCATATGTCTAGTTATTGAAAATACCAAGTGCTTAGAAACTGTAGAATTGCAGGAAGTTGTAGCAATTTTGAAAAGTCAAGAACAACGGTTTGATTTGCATACTGTTGATGCATCTGAGAAAGCATTCTCTTCACTTTCTGTGAATCCAAAGGAACAAAACAAGAGTAGTGCATACTCTAGTTCATCCAGATCTCAGAAAAACTGGAATTCTAAAGGCAGGAAATGGGAGTCTAAGCCTAAGTTTCAACAGAAATCATTTACTAATTCTGCACAGAATTCATCTTCTTCAGGATTCATGAAGCAAGATATAGTTAAACCACAGTGTAAAGTGTGCTCTAAGTTTCACTTTGGAGAATGTCGATACAAGGGGCAATCCAAATGTCACAACTGTGATAGGTTTGGGCATTGGGCTAGAGAATGCACAGCAGGCAAGGTTGTTCAGAAGGCAAACTGTGCTAATCGGGCAGAAGTGACAGGTAATCTGTTTTATGCTAACAGTGCAATTACTGAGGTCAAGGTGAATGAAAACTGGTACATTGATAGTGGTTGTAGTAACCACATGACTGGAAATGCTGAGCTACTTAGGGATGTAAGGTACAAATGCCCACTGGAAATCTGGTAGATGTTGCTGGAATAGGTTCACTTATGATTGATACAAATTCTGGTAGTAAATGCATCAAGGAAGTCATGTTTCTACCTGGTCTGAAGGAAAATCTGTTGAGTGTGGGACAGATGGACGAACATGGATATTATTTGCTATTTGGTGGAAGAGAGTGTTGTATCTTTGATGGTCCTTCACTTGATTGTCTGGTTATCAAGGTTAAGATGAAAAGTAATAGGTGCTACCCTTTGTCTTTAATGCAAACTGATCAAGTTGCATTGAAAACTAGTGTAGCTGAATGTACCTGGACTTGGCACAAGAGACTAGGACACCTAAATCTTAGAAGCCTCAAGCAGCTTAGAGAAAAAGAAATGGTGCATGGTCTTCCACACCTTGAAGATGTTGATGGTGTGTGTGCAGGATGTCAAATGGGAAAACAACACAGAGATTGGTTTCCAAAAGGACAAGCTTGGAGAGCCAAGAATCCTCTAGAATTGATACACACAGATTTGTGTGGTCCCATGAATACTGAATCACTTGCTGGGAATAAATATTTCATGTTGTTTATTGATGATCACACAAGAATGTCATGGGTTTATTTCCTACGACATAAGTCTGAGGCACTAATCTGTTTTAGAAAGTTCAAAACAATGGTGGAGTTACAATGTGGATTTAAAGTAAAATGTCTAAGAAGTGACAGAGGGGGAGAATTTCTCTCAACTGAATTCAGCAAGTTGTTGGAATCTGAAGGCATACAAAGACAGTTATCCATTGCTTATACTCCACAGCAAAATGGAGTAGTGGAGAGGAAAAATAGAACAGTTGTAGAGATGGCTAAGGCAATGCTTCATGATAAAAGCTTGCCATACTTTCTGTGGGCAGAAGCTGTACATACAGCTGTTTATATTCTGAACAGATCACCTACAAAAGCTCTTGAGAACATGACTCCTTTTGAAGTCTATAGTGGGAGAAAACCAGGAATTGGTCACTTAAAGGTGTTTGGATCACTCTGTTATGTTCATGTACCAGCTGAAAGAAGACAAAAGCTTGATGCAAAGTCTGTCAAAGGTGTGTTTGTGGGTTATGCAACTTGTGAGAAAGGGTACAGAGTATTTGATCCATGTTCAAGGAAGTTAATTCTATCAAGGGATGTGGTCTTCGATGAAACTGTGTCTTGGAATTGGAAGGAGAATTCAGAGAAGTCTATTGCAATAACTAACATTCAAGATCGGTATAGGACTGTGGATGATTTCAGTCTACAAGAAGTGAGAGAAATAGTAGACAGTAATCAAATGGAAGAACAAGATAGAGATGTCTCTGAAACTGTTGAGATCACTAGTCCATATGACCATACACCTGTTAAATGGAGAAATATCAGTGATATCCTAGCACAATGCAATCTTTGTATTGTGGAGCCAGAGAAGTATGAAGAAGCTGCACAAGATAAAGCTTGGATAAAAGCTATGAAAGAAGAATTGTCCATGATTGAGAAAAATGAGACTTGGAAGCTTGTAGACAGACCAAGTGATAAGCAGGTTATTGGTGTGAAATGGGTGTTCAAAACCAAACTAAATTTGGATGGCTCAGTACAAAAGAATAAGGCAAGGCTGGTTGCTAAAGGATATGTGCAGAAACCAGGACTTGATTACAATGAGACGTTTGCCCCAGTTGCCAGATTGGACACCATCAGAACACTAATTGCACTTGCTGCACACAGAAACTGGAAGCTATTTCAATTAGACGTTAAGTCTGCTTTCTTAAATGGAGTATTGCAGGAAGAAGTATATGTTGATCAACCTGAAGGGTTTGTGATTAGTGGCAAGGAAGATAAGGTTTACAAGCTGCACAAGGCTCTTTATGGCTTGAAACAGGCGCCTAGGGCCTGGTATGGAGAGATTGACAGCTATTTTGCTAAGTGTGGGTTTGAGAAAAGCTTAAGTGAAGCAACTCTCTACACTAAGACAAGGGGCGAAAAGGATATACTAATAGTTTCCATATATGTGGATGATATTGTGTATACTGGAAACAATCAAGATATGCTGGATGAGTTCAAAGATGATATGAAGGAGAAGTATGAGATGTCAGACTTGGGTCTTCTTCACCATTTTCTGGGGATGGGGGTGATTCAAACAGAATCTAGCATCTTCATTCATCAAAAGAAGTATGCCTCTTCTCTGTTGGATAAGTTTGGATTGAAAGAATGTAAATCTGTCTCTATTCCTCTTGTGGCTACTGAAAAGTTAAGTAAAGAAGATGGAAGTGGTGCAGCAGATGAAGAGAAATACAGAAAACTTGTAGGCAGTTTATTGTATCTTACTGCTACAAGACCAGATGTGATGTATGCAGCTAGTTTGTTAGCTAGATATATGCATGGTCCTTCTAACAAGCACTATGGGATAGCTAAGAGAGTGCTCAGATATATCAAAGGAACACTGGACTATGGTTTGCATTATATGAAAGGTGAGAAGGCAGTTTTGGTTGGTTTCTGTGATAGTGATTGGGGAGGATCAATAGATGACAGCAAGAGTACCTCAGGCTATGCGTTTTCTTTTGGCAGCGGAGTGTTCTCATGGGCTTCTGTGAAACAAAATTGTGTTGCACTATCCACAGCAGAGGCTGAATATATAAGTGCTGCCGAAGCAACATCTCAAGCTATATGGATCAAGTTTGTTCTTGAAGATTTTGGAGAATTACAAGCTGAGGCAACTCCCTTGCAGTGTGACAATACATCTGCAATCTCAATAACTAAAAATCCAGTGTTTCACCAAAGGACTAAGCACATTGACAGAAGATATCACTTCATAAAGGATGCCTTGCAGCAGGGAATTATTGATTTGGTATACTGTCCAACCAAAGAACAAGTAGCAGACATTTTTACCAAGGCTTTACCAAAAGAGAGATTCAACTATCTTAGAGACAAACTTGGAGTTGTATCAGCTCAAAGCTTAAAGGGGAGTATTAGTGTATAAGCTGTGAGCTAAGTAAAGTTAAATTAAATAAGCCTTGTTTCTAATTGTGTATTCACTTAGTCTTAGATTATGACAAGTGTAAGGCTGAGATTGTATTGATGGTAGTGTGAATCCAATTAAGGCTATCAGTTATGTACTCATGCTTGTGTGCGTGTTCATTTGAGAAATATAAGAAAAGCTTCTACTCTCAGACTTTGAGAGAGAGCAGAGTATAGTTTCTTCATACTGTTTCTTTCTCAGTTAACTCATTTTTTCTTCTTCGCATAAAACTCAATTAAACATCAATACTCTAACAACCATTTGGTCTGTTTGTTGGGTGCTTCTTAACTGATATTTTGAAGGAGACATTGTAGGAAGTGCTTTCCAGGTCGGAGGAGAATGCCAATGGGATAGCAGTTTGTTTCGCCGAAAATAATGGAGGGGTGGAGTGGTGCGCTAGGTTTTGGGTCATTGGGTGTAGAGATAGAAACATCAATTTTTATTTTCTTATTTAGCAGATAAAACTTTTTAGTTAGATGTAGAGATAAGATAACTGGATTCAAATAAAATTTCTCTTTAATTAATGATCGAGATTAATGTATTGTCGACAATAGAACATTTTATGCATCTCAACGCAGTTTAAAGCATTGTATGTGTTTGATTAAATGCTAGAATTATATCCTCTCTCGTTTTTTTTCACCAAAAAGGAGGACGATGGTTTAATGTTTTTTAATTTATTTTTTTTTTATTTCTGGTTTAAAATCATGCATCCACAAAAGAAGGTGGCACCATTTCTGAAAAAAAGCAAAAAGAATAGTTCCCTTTGTATATGGTCACCACATATATCTACAACGCGAGAGAAAAGGCGATGACATCTCGATCCCTCTAGTTTTGTTCCTATTCCCACCAACCGTGGAAACATATATATTCTAACGAGAAAATCTTCTGAAAGTCTTTGGTGTAAAAGCTTTTCTCTCTGCTGGATATAAATGAATCTCACATGCAAAAAAAACTTCCTTCAATTATATCTGTATATGTACACTTAATCGTCTTAGGGTTGTTGATACATTAGAGTTTTAACCTTTTTCCTTACATATTAAAGAATAGATTATAGTTGAGGTTGCAATGGACACAAGAAATAATCTTTACGAAGCAAGTCAGAGTTTTCGAGCAAACAGTTCTTCGGTTTGGAGGGACACTGGTATGGAAGTTTTCTCGAGGCCCTCCATGACTTCCAACCATGAAGATGAAGAAGAAGACCTCAAGTGGGCTGCACTTGAAAGACTTCCCACATTCAACCGTTTAAAGAAAGGTTTGCTCACTTCTTCAAGCGGCGAGGCAAGTGAAGTTGATGTACGTAAACTTGGGTTTCAAGAAAGGAATAATTTAATTCAGAGGCTTGTGAAAGATACCGAAACCCAGAACGAGAAGTTCTTAATGAGGCTGCGAGAGCGACTCGATAGGTAATTAATGTACTAACATACTTATATATCAGTCATTCTACAATGCGGTTAACTACAGTTTAAAAAGGTGTGGTCAAGTTTATCGACTGCCTAAGTATCAATAATATCGAATACATATAAGAACTTTAACAAAGTGCAGTTTACCGCACTACAAATGGTTGCTATGGCTGCATTGTTTATATTTGGTTGCTCTTCAAGAGAGTATCGAAAAAATGTACCAGTTTCAAGGGATACACAGCGGAATTTTCCCTTTCAACTGTCGTATTACTAATAAACCATTATTCAACGATTCCCTTTAGAATTACTCTTGTTATCAATTAGCGCTGAAGGAATCACATGAATAGAACCACATTATGGGGATGTCGGCTGTTTTGAGAATATCACACATGTTAGATGGAATACTGCATCAAAAGTTCAAAATTTATTGAACTTCTCCACCCATTGTCAATTGCTTTTGGGTGGATGCTGACATTCTAATGAACCGATTAATTGGTTTTGTATTGTGTTGGATACTTGAACTTTTTAACACCTTTAACTTGTTGGAAATATGTCAGAGCTGGAGTGGAAGTTCCAGCACTGGAGGTAAGATACGAGCATATCAAAGTCGATGCAGAAGCTCATGTAGGAACAAGGGCATTGCCTTCATTCTTTAACTTTTACATTAATTTTTTCGAGGTAAACCTGTAATCGAATCAAGATTACTTCTTTCTTGCTGTTCTAATTAAACCTGGATTTTCTTAATTCTTCCTCCTGCTTATGTTGCCCTTCAATTTTTTTTTTCTTCAGGGCATCTTGTCTAGTCTCCACTTGCTTAAGAGTAGGAAGAAACACGTGTCTATCCTCCGTGATCTTAGTGGAATCATTAGGCCTAGCAGGTAAAAATGCAAAGACTCTGATCATCTATACCTGAAATTAATGACATGTTATAGCTATTACTTGGTTCCCAAATTTTGTTATTAACTTTTGTTTGGGGGGCTGATGCAAATTTTGCAGAATAACATTGCTTTTAGGTCCTCCAAGTTCTGGAAGGACCTCGTTATTGCTGGCTCTTGCCGGGAAGCTTTCACCAGATGTAGAGGTAAGTTAATATTCCTACATATAGAGCTTTAGCTGTTCATGCTGTATTCAGTTAAGTAGCTTCAGAACTAGAATCCATAAGTTTTCAAACTTTACTTACAGTTCTCAGGGAAGGTGACATACAATGGCCTTGACATGAATGAATCTGCACCTTGGAGAGCTTCTGCCTACATCAGTCAGCATGATATCCATAATCCTGAAATGACTGTAAGAGAAACCTTGTCCTTCTCTTCTAGATGCCAGGGGGTCGGACATCGTCATGGTTAGTTTTTTGTTTTATGACTTATGAGTACAGATTCTATTTATCAGAATTCAGATCACTATATCTACTATTTCTAACTTATTCGCAGGATGACTAATTGTTAATATGGCCATCTACAGAATGGTTAGCAGAATTGTCAAGGAGAGAGAAAGCAGCAAATATTCAGCCTGATCCTGATATTGATGTCTTCATGAAGGTAAAAAACTGAAGCTAGATATATTATGTGATTTTCGGGCTAATAAGGATGTCCTTTTATGGACATTCGATTTCCAGAATGTGATTCAACGATCGTTACCATTCAGTTTTTAGAGTCTCTTTCAAGGATTTGCCCATCCCAAAAATTGGCTACATCGATCAGTAATTATTTAGCTGTTTGATTATCCGTAATTTCATTTCTGTAATCTAATAAACAATGTTTTCCGCACATTTTGGATGACGGTACAGTTTTTTTGGTACGGAGATACGCTTGAATAAGGACCTAAGATAAGATATAAACGTTCCGATGAAATGGATTATGTTGTGGCCCTAGGAAGGATGTCCATAACTTAGACTAATGGGACTGGTTGTGACAATCTCATGAGTCCATATTTAAAGCTAAAATATGTATGTCAAGATATGTAGCTTGTGTAAATATTCTCCATTCTTAAAGTCACCAAGATTAAAACCAACTTTTGGTGATTTTGCAATCTTAAGGTGGTATTACTAAATGCTAAGCTTGAGTTGGTTTCAAATATTTCAGGCATCAGCTATACAAGGCCAGAAGGCAAATGTTTTCACAGATTATGTTCTGAAGGTATCATCTCCACATCACAATCCATTATTATTCATTGGTTTCAAAAATTTATCAGATTAGTCATCAACTTCGCTTTCCACTCGCAGATTTTAGGACTAGACATATGTGCAGAAACCATGGTCGGGGATGGAATGCTAAGGGGTATTTCGGGTGGTCAAAAGAAGCGTGTCACAACCGGTATTTAGGCACAAGCTTTTATTTCAAGTGATGTGTTGTACTTGTATGTCTCCTAGACCTAGTAATTGTCTGAATAACTCTACCGATTACATTGCAGGTGAGATGCTGGTTGGACCAGCAAAGGTTCTGTTCATGGATGAGATTTCTACTGGTTTGGACAGCTCAACAACTTATCAAATTGTGAACTCGCTTAGGCAATCCATGCACATTCTCAACGGAACTGCTGTTATTGCTCTCCTCCAGCCACCACCAGAAACTTATAACCTTTTTGATGACATTATACTCCTCTCCGATGGTCAAATTGTGTACCAGGGGCCCCGTGAACACGTGCTAGAGTTTTTTGAGTCCGTAGGCTTCAAATGTCCTGAAAGAAAAGGCGTGGCCGATTTTCTGCAGGAAGTAAGCTTAGATATACATGATTGATCTCTTACCTATGTGAGCCCTTCTCCTTTATGTTTTCGCATAATTGAATTATTGTTGTAGGTGACTTCAGAGAAAGATCAGGAGCAATATTGGGCTCATAGGGATAAGGCTTACAAATTCGTCACGGTCAAGGAATTCACTGATACATTTCAGTCTTTCCATGTTGGGAAGAAAATAAAAGAGGACCTTTCGGTTCCATTTGACAAGAGTGACAAGGGTGCAGAACTTTTGGCTCCCCAAAAATATGGTGTTGGAAAGAAAGAACTCCTTAAAGCCTGCATGTCAAGAGAATACTTGCTAATGAAGAGGAACTCATTTGTCTATGTATTCAAGTTTGTGCAGGTTAATCAGAATTCTACTTTATTAAATTTAGTTTTAGTTATACATTTTTGTGCGTCTATAATATTCTCTTAATCATCTTTATTCTAATAGCTTATAGTGATGGCATTCATTACAATGACACTCTTCATACGGACAAGGATGCATCGAGATTCAATAACAGATGGAGGCATTTTCACTGGTGCCTTATTTTTCTGTATGATAATGGTCATGTTTAATGGAATGTCTGAGCTCAGTTTGACCATTGCCAAGCTTTCTGTTTTTTACAAGCAAAGGGACCTCATGTTTTTCCCTGCCTGGGCGTATGCACTTCCCGGATGGTTGATCAAGGTTCCCCTCTCATTCGTGGAAGTTGGAATTTGGGTTTTCATGACCTACTACGTCATTGGTTTCGATCCAAATGTGCATAGGTAATGCTTGGATTTGTAACTGTGTTGGAAACTTTTGTTTACATTTTTTCACTTTCTGTTCTGTTAATCTATGTGTGTGCAGGTTGTTTAGACAATACTTTATATTCATACTTGTCCATCAAATGGCTTCTGGATTATTCCGACTTATTGCAGCACTTGGTAGGAATATGGTTATTGCTACCACAGGCGGATCATTTGCACTGCTAGTACTCTTTGTAAACGGTGGCTTTGTTCTTTCAAGAGGTATGGTACATACAAGTTTGACACAAAAATAGACTTGCGAAGCAAGACAATCCTTGTAATGCACCTTTCTTTGCTGCAGTGGATATAAAGAAATGGTGGATATGGGCTTACTGGATATCGCCAATGATGTATGCGCAGAATGCAGTGGAAGTAAATGAGTTCCTAGGGAATAGCTGGAAACATGTAAACTATTGACTTAGCCATGTATAAAAATTAAAGGTTTTTTGTTTGTCTCGTAATCTCTCTGAAGTTTGAATTGCTATCGTATGAAAGGTTCTTCCAAACACAGAACAGCCGTTGGGAATTTTGGTTTTGAAGTCTAGAGGATTCTTTACAGAACAACGCTGGTATTGGATAGGAGTTGGGGGCCTGATTGGATTTATAATACTATTCAACTTGGCTTATGTCTTGGCCCTCACTTATCTCGACTGTGAGTACCTTACTTTGAATTAATAACTTGAAATGTGAGAGCTCATGTTTTCACATTGTTCAAATAATTGTACAGCTTATGACAAGGCTCAAAGTAGTCAATCGGACGAATCTCAAGAAAATGAACAAGCTCAAAAAACTGCAAATGAAGGGAACAGAGCTAGCGCTGAGATAAACTCCAGTAAGAAAAAAGGAATGACTCTTCCATTTCAACAACAATCTCTCACCTTTAATGACATTGTGTACTCTGTTGACATGCCACCGGTAATTAACAAATTTTAATGTTTACGATTCAGATAGCAAGTTGTTTTTACTTTTAAAACAGCACATTTACAAAACACAGTTGTTTTAATTGAACTTGCAGGAAATGAAGAATCAGGGTGTCAGTGAGGATAAGCTGGTGCTTTTGAAGGGAGTGAGCGGTGCTTTCAGGCCTGGCGTCCTTACCGCTTTGATGGGTGTCAGTGGTGCTGGTAAAACTACCCTCATGGATGTGCTAGCTGGTAGGAAAACTGGGGGTTATATTGACGGTGATATCAAAATTTCTGGATATCCCAAAAAGCAAGAAACCTTTGCTCGAATTTCAGGATACTGTGAACAAAATGACATCCATTCTCCTCATGTTACTGTCTATGAGTCTTTGCTTTTTTCAGCTTGGCTCCGCCTACCCTCTGAAGTCAATTCTACAACAAGAAAGGTTGCATTCCGGAAACCTCGTCCTTGCTCTTTTACCTGGCTAATAAAGGATGGTTTTATAACTTCGACTAAAAGTTTTAGTGTTCAAAAGCTATAGCAATTCTAAATTCTAACTGATGGCAGATGTTTGTGGAGGAGGTGATGGAGCTTGTGGAACTAAAACCTTTGCGGAAAGCGCTAGTTGGCTTGCCAGGTGTGAATGGTCTCTCAACTGAGCAACGGAAGAGGCTCACCATTGCTGTTGAACTAGTGGCAAACCCTTCCATAATATTCATGGACGAGCCAACTTCAGGGCTAGATGCTAGAGCTGCTGCAATTGTCATGAGAACAGTTAGGAACACTGTGGACACTGGAAGAACAGTTGTCTGCACCATTCATCAGCCAAGCATTGACATATTTGAATCTTTTGATGAGGTGAGAAATGTTGGTACATCACTAAAGCTATATGTTCGCACAATTATCTGACAGTAATACATTCAACAAACTGTTCCAGTTATTATTGATGAAGCGTGGAGGAGAAGAAATATATGTAGGGCCTTTAGGCCACCATTCTTGTGATTTGATCAAGTATTTTGAGGTATGTGATGATGATAATCTGCAATGGAACAACGCGTTTTAGTTATAATCTACATGCTTTTGGTGACGTAGATGTTGCATTATGTCTAGGACATTGAAGGAGTCAGTAAAATTAAAGGTGATTACAACCCTGCAACTTGGATGTTGGAAGTTAGCTCTTATGCACAAGAACAAGCTTTGGGAGTTGATTTTTCCAAAGTGTACAAAAATTCTGAACTGTATCGGTAGGTTTTATCATAAATGCATCATCAGACCTTATGGCATAAAACACATCTAACTGTTTGAAATTCTGTATTTATCTTAGCCTTCATGGTAATGCAATTGAAATATAGTAATGAAGTAGTACGACTGTCTGGCGTGTGTCTCAGGAGAAACAAAGAACTTATTAGGCAACTGAGCACACCTCCTGCCGATTCCAGAGATCTCCATTTCCCTTCTCAATACTCTCAATCATTTTATGCTCAATGCATAGCATGCTTTTGGAAACAAAGATTGTCGTATTGGCGCAATCCACCATACACTGCTGTAAGATTTTTGTTCACAGCTATCATAGCCATCATGTTTGGCACAATGTTCTGGGACCTGGGCTCCAAAACGTAAGCTACATCTATCATTTATCAACAAAAGTTCAACCTTTAGTCATTCCAATCAACATATAAACACATTTCCATCCTCCCCATTGTAGGAAAAAGCAGCAAGACCTGTTTAATGCGATGGGCTGTATGTATTGTGCTGTTCAATTCATTGGAATCCAAAATGCTGGTAGTGTGCAGCCAGTCGTTTCAGTTGAACGAACGGTTTTCTACAGAGAAAAAGCTGCTGGAATGTATTCACCCTTAGCGTACGCCTTTGCACAGGTAGTCGATTTACACAAATTTCATGATTCGTCTACAACGAGGTAATATTTTATGTAAGCAACTTCAATGTTCTATGCAGATTATAATTGAGCTCCCGTACATTTTCATCCAAACTCTGGTTTACGCTGTCATCGTGTACTCCATGATGGGACATCAATGGACTGCTGCTAAATTCTTTTGGTATTTGTTCTTCATGTACTTCACATTGCTATATTTCACCTTTTATGGGATGATGGCTGTGGCTGTGACGCCAAATTTCCACATTGCTACTATAATTTCCTCCGCATTTTATGGAGTGTGGAACCTCTTTTCCGGATTTATTGTCCCGCGAACTGTAAGTATTGTTTTCAAATGCCACCTTTCTTTTGCTCATTTCGTGCATAGACACTAATGAAAGTGTTACTTTATACTTTCTTGTTCGTAACAGAGAATGCCCGTGTGGTGGAGATGGTACTATTATATATGTCCAGTTTCGTGGACCTTATATGGACTAGTTATATCACAGTATGGAGATATGGACGACATGCTTGACAATGGTGTAACAGTTAAACAGTTTTTGAAAAGTTACTTCGGCTTCGAACACAAGTTTCTAGGACCAGTTGCAGGTATTGTTACAGCGTTTGTTATTCTCTTCGGACTTATTTTTGCCGTTTCCATCAAGGTTTTCAATTTCCAGAAAAGATAGAAATTTATTTACGTTGGATGTCACGGGCTAGAACCGTCACTGACCTCGTAGATACGATGAAAGTTATCATCAATCTGTAATTTTGCTTACCATTTGTAGCATGTAGACCTTCAAAATATAAACGATATTATCAGTTTGTGCATCTTGTATTACCACTGATCCCATTCTTGTACGAAGTATTTACCAAAGCACGAGGTTTTGCAGTTCTTGGATTGGCTCGATTTCTTGCATTGCAAGATTTCTCTATCTCCAGGGTTTACTGCAAATTATGAAACTTCAAACCATTTGGATTATCTTCGCATATCTTCGCGGTTAAGATTGATTAAAGGAATTACGATGACTTGATATGTAACTTGTTTTAGTAATCTAAAATTGCTCTTCGCAAATAATACAAAGAAACATCTATCGATTTGAAAATTAAACGCCCAAATACGGAAGGCAAAGATGAATCCAAAGAGCATTGTAACCCCAACACGCACTGCTGCAACAACTACCACAAAATCATGTCTGAAACCAAAGTAATGTGTCAGGAATTGTTCACAGTTTGACGGCCATTACCGAGCACATCGTTCAGATCTCCAAAATGTGATGCAATCAATCCATACAAGGTCCAAGCCACCGGCTGTGGGATGATGAATCCTGAAAAGAGGTTCCACGTTGCATAAAATGCAGAGGAAACAATCGCAGCAATATGATGGTTTGGCGTCACAGCCACAGTCATCATGCCGTAAAATGTGAAGTACAGCATTTTGTATCCCGAGTAAGAGAACGGCAGCATACAGCGAACCCATTTCATTGAACAAAATCTTGTTGCCTTTTTCTGCATCAAATAACACAAAGAAAATTTGAACACATGAACAATGGAGAAAAAAGAAAAATGAAAGAAGAAGAAGCCGAGGTTCCAGAACATTGGCCCCAACATCAATGCTACGACAGTTGTGAAGAGAAATCTTACTGCATTGTATAAAGGTTGCTCCGATATGACCAATGTTGTTTCCATAAGCAAGCAATGGACTGGACGAGAAATGGTTGAGTATTGAGTAGGGACATACAAGTCCTTTGAAGAAGAAGCAGGTGTGCTGAATTCAAGTGATTATTTCCTGCAGTGAACGAACCATATAGAGGGAATTGCATGTCCATCTGAATTGGTACTGAAATTGTTCAAAAACATACCACTTGGTTTATACCTCTTGATTAAGAGACACCACTTCATATGAAACATGTCTCTTCAATTTGAATTGTGTGGAAAATATGGAAGAGAATGCTTTTTCTCATTATATTTCTCTACAAGATTACAAGGATTTATATACATGAAACACTTAAGGGATACAAGTGTGTAGGTTGGACAAGGTAGGACGGCTTGGACAAGGTAGGAGACAAGGTAGGACGGCTTAGGAGACAAGGTAGGACGGCTTGGATAAGGTAGGACGGCTTGGACAAGGTAGGAGACAAGGTAGGACGGCTGCTTGGACAAGGTAGGACAGCTTGTTCTTCCAATACTCCCCCTCAAGCTGGATCAAGGAGGTTAATTGATCCAAGCTTGGAGAGCAGACTTTGAAACTGAGGAGAAGCAAGAGACTTCGTGAAAATATCAGCAAGTTGATCTTGGCTTCGAGTGAATGTGGTTTGAATTACCTTGGACTGGACTTGTTCCCGAACGTAGTGACAGTCAACTTCAATGTGTTTGGTGCGTTCATGGAACACCGGATTGGAGGCAATATGCATAGCTGCTTGATTGTCACAGAAAAGAGACATAGGTGTGTTGATTGAGAACCCCAAGTCCGAGAGAAGGCCCTTGAGCCAAATGAGTTCACATGCAGTGGAAGCCATGGCTCTATACTCAGCTTCGGCACTTGAGCGAGCAATTACATTTTGTTTTTTGCTCTTCCATGTCACGAGGTTTCCTCCAACCAACGTGCAGTAGCCAGTAGTGGATTTTCTATCAATAGCATTCCCTGCCCAGTCAGCATCGGTGTAGGCAATGATTTGAGTATGACCATTGTTTTTCATGACGATTCCCCGACCAATGGAGCCTTTGAGGTATCTGAGAATTCTTTTAACAACATTTAAATGAGCTTCAGTGGGTGCATGCATGAATTGGCTTACAAGACTGACGGCGTAAGTTATATCCGGTCTGGTGATGGTGAGATATATAAGCTTACCCACCAATCGTTGGTAGTAACTGATATCACTGAGAGGTTCTCCTGTCAAGTCCAACTTCAATTTGCTATCAAGAGGAGTACGAGTTGGTTTGCAATCCATCATCTTCACTTCTTGAAGTAAGTCAATCACATATTTCCTTTGACTCAAAAAAAGTCCCTTGGGGGAAGTGGCCAGTTCAATCCCAAGGAAGTATTTTAAAACTCCTAAGTCTTTAATGGCAAATTGTTGATGAAGAGAATGTTTAAGAGTGTGAATCTCATCAATGTTATCACCTGTGATGATGATATCATCAACATAGATTAGTACAACTAATTTGCCAACTGATCCTATTCGAACAAACAGGGAGGAATCAGCATGACTTCTCTTGAACCCAAAATTTTCAAGTACCGAGCTCAATTTGGCATACCAGGCACGAGGAGATTGTTTCAAGCCATAGATTGACTTATGAAGCTTACAAGCCATACCTGAATTCTGTGCTTGTGGATGACCCGGGGGTAGTTGCATGTAGACTTCCTCTTCGAGGTCTCCATGTAAAAAAGCATTTTTTACATCCATTTGGTACAATGGCCATTCATGGTTCACTGCAACAGATAACAAAACCCTTATTGTGCTCATCTTAGCCACGGGAGCAAATGTCTCCTTATAGTCCACTCCAAAAGTTTGAGTAAAACCGCGAGCCACCAATCTTGCCTTGTGCCGTTCAATTGAGCCATCAGAATTAAACTTGATTTTATAGACCCACCGACTGCCTACCACCTTCTTGCCCTTGGGAAGTTGAACTACACTCCAGGTTTTATTTTCATTCAAGGCTTTGAGTTCTTCTTCCATGGCTAGCCTCCACACAACTTGACGATTGGCTTCTTGAAAGTTCCTTGGTTCACTTTCATAGGACAGTTTACTGAGGAAGGCTGCATGAGAGTGAGAGACTTTGGAGTAATTTACAAACTTGTGAATAGGGTACCTTGCATGGTAAGTTTCATAGTCTTGCAGCCTTGATGGTGGATGTCGATCTCGAGTCGGATTCCTGCGGGGTTGAGCTGGGATCACAATAGGTTCAGCTCCACTCTCTTGTATAGATGTTGTGTTATGGTCATGGGGAACTACTTGTGCTTCTGAGGCTTCAGTGTCGTCTCCAATAAGCAGGTTGTCATTAAGGGTTGCATGAGAGTCCCGGTTGTGAGGTAGTGAATGGACACAGTCACTTGATTCGACTGGATTTGGCAATGGGAAGAGATCTGGGAAGTGCTCCCCCTGACGATTTTGATCTGATGATTTGTTGAAATATGGTTGGTTTTCATCAAACCGTACATCTCTTGAGACAAACATCTTCCTGGAGCACGGATTGTAGCATTTGTACCCTTTTTGAGTGGAGGAGTATCCCATGAAAACACACTTGACAGCTTTGGGATCAAGCTTGTCTCGGTGATGGGATTGAATATGAACATAACAGGTACATCCAAAGATTCTCAGATGGGAAAGATTAATTTTTTTGTTTTGCATAACCTCAGATGGTGATTTTGTATCCAGAACACGACTAGGCAGTCTGTTGATAAGGTAGGTGGCTGCAAGAACTCCTTGAGACCAAAACCTCTTAGGCACATTCATTTGCAACATTAGCGCCCTGGTTTTTTCAAGTAGGTCCCTATTCTTCCTTTCGGCAATTCCATTTTGCTGAGGAGTACCTACACAACTTGTTTGATGTATAATTCCATGGGTGCTCAAATAGTTAGTCATATTTTTGGATGTATATTCAGTGCCATTATCAAACCTTAGTATGTGGATTTGGGACGAAAAATGGTTCATGACAAGATTATGAAAGTCCTTGAAAGCATCCATAACTTCACTTTTGAATTTTAGGAGGTACAACCAAGTGGCTCTTGAGAAATCATCAACATAGATAACGTAGTACCTATAACCATCAAAAGACTCTAGAGGTGCAGGTCCCCAAACATCGGAGTGTACCATCTCAAAAAACTTGCTAGTCCTAGACATGGAAGAATTGAATAGGAGTCTAGTAGATTTTGACAAATGACAAATTTCACATACAAGGGAGGATTTGCATAAACTAGGGAACAACGTAGACAACACAGATTCTGAGGGATGGGCTAGGCGTTGATGCCACAACCGATGTTCTAGGTTTGAGCTGACTTGGAACCCCTTTGGAACATTGAGGTCCTCTGAAAAATAGTACAGCCCATTTAAGTAGTGACCTTCACCAATCAGCTTCTTGGTGGCTAGATCCTGAAAAACAACATTGTGGGGGGAAAAAATTGCACGACAGTTTAGAGAGTTTGTAATCCTTCCTACGGACAATAATTGAAAAGGAAAAGATGGAACATATAACGCTGTGGACTCAACAGTTTCTGAGATCAGTTTAACTTTCCCTCTACCTAGAACTGGCACACCTCTACCATTTGCTACAGAAACTAGTGATGGTTTAGTGTAGCTTTCAAAATCGTATAGCTTTGAATATTGATTTGTCATGTGATCTGTGGCACCTGAGTCTATAATCCAAAAATCATGAGAGTGACTAACATTTAGAGCAGTTGAAAGAGCACACATGATACCTGGAATGTCTCCTTGAGGTACATGACCAGATTCAGCTAAGAACCCTGCAAACTGTCCAAGAAGAGCAATTTGACTTTCCCCAGTCGACGTTTCACCTGTGCTTCCTTTTCTGGTTTGAAGGTAGGTTGAGAACTCATTCAACAAGTCAGCCGGATTGGCTGTAAAGTTCATCGACCCGCCGATGGATGTAGCATCAGCAGCATGGTACTTGTTTGTATGTGGTCTAGCGTGTGAGCCCTTATGATCTCTTAAAGGCTTGTTCTCAACCC